CACTGTCCATTCACCGCTCTTTTAAGAACGTAAAAGTAAATAATAAAATAAGTAAACAAAAATGTAAACAAACAAACTATATTGTCGATTGCATTGGCCAGCTGTTGTTCACTAAATTAATCAAATAATAACTTCCAAAACATGCAAGGCGTAGCCTTTTGAAAATCAGCCTGTGGGGCAGAGCCCTTAGGGAGTTCGTCCATATCAATACTTTTCGGCAAAATCTACACACTCTAAGCTTCATTTTGATATGCCATATGCCTATATTTTTATTTGGTAAATGGCCTTAACCGTTTACATAAAATTTGATTGTATCACTGTAATAATATAATATACTGTTGTATGGATAATATTTTTGTACTATTGAGTGGATGGATTCTTATGTAAACAAGCCTTGAAATCATATTAAGTGGGACTAATTCGTCAACGTTTGTGATTTATGAAAGCTATAGTGACAATAGGCGGATGGTGGCCCCACCTTCTGCAGTAGCCTATCTATAAAAGCTATAATGTTTAACAAAACTATAATATCTATAACTAATATTATGATGGTCAATTTATACATATCCACTGTTTTTGTATCTTGAACTGAGGTGACACATATGTCGTCAAATCGTCGTTAAAATTGGTTAAAAACTGTTTAAATATACAACTTTTGGCACGGTGTTTGTAACTAAACTAGCCCAAACTTAGATTTAAATCCTAATACCTGCTCTTGCTCTGGAGTGCTCTGGGGCTCAGGTCCTTCTTGGAAGTACCGTACCTAATCCTATTCATAGTTTTTGGCCAGCTTGCTGTGTCAAACACCCCATATCACCCCTTCCCTACTTCACTCTTACCCAGAAAATCTTTTCAATTTACCTATAGGGAATCTTTTGGGGACAGCAGACTCAGAGCTACCCACGTTCCCTATTGTTTGTTGCGGAGGGTAAGTTTCTCATAATCACCCCAGGCCGAAAGTCCTACACTCAAAATTGTAATCCTAGTTGAGCGGAGCGACCTAGCTCTTCCTACTACCTTTGAATATGTATTCAACACCTACTCCTGAACGGCTGAATCGATCCGTATGTTTTATTATAGTTTTTTTGTTTTCATAGTTTTATAGTTTTTTTATAGTTTCCCTTTTCTTTGAAGTACCCTTTAGTTTTAATGTAATGCTTTTTTAATAAATTAAACTGCAACATCAACAAAAATAATATTTGAATTGCTAATCATATTACGGGTGTGTTTCCGTAAAATTCTCCATAATATATTTCATCAATGATAACATTATCTATTGCACGTACAATACAAATACAGTACCACTACTCAGTATTGCAAAACCAATGAAACATGATCGTTTTCAAACATGATGTCATGCATCAGAGGTAACAATGTCAACCATGTGATTGACAGCTGCAGGGGTGCCAATTGTTGTGAAAGAGGAAATCTAGTCGTGAGGTTGTCTAACCTGCCAACAGGGAAATTCCGCTGCAATTTGCACTTCAAACTTTGTAATGCGATCTTGGTTGCAACTTGCAATTGCAACAATATTCAGATAAAAACATTTTCAAAACGTTTGCAATGCTAACGTAGATCATTTTATTTTGCGAAATGAATCAGCTCGATTAGATATCTGCTGTATATTTTTCTCACCTAAGATTTTGCAAACCATAATAACGATTGGCGATCATTGACAATATTATTGTTATTGGGTTTTTTTTTGTGTGCTTTTCTTCACATTGTACATTGCACAAGTGGAACTTTATTAACAAGACCTTGATAACAAGTCGCCCTTCTAACAAGTGTAATTTCAAATATGCCTACTCTTGATTTCGTATTACGCACCTAATCAGATGTTAATGGCAAACATCGATAAGAATTCTACCTCGATAACAGGTCTATTTTGTTGATCCCCATTACCTGTTACCTGGGTACGAGGTTCTACTTTAAATGCACTCAGAATAATTGAATTGCAGAAATTACCATTTTGAATTTGGAGCAGTAATAAATTCTACATTTACTGTATTTTTGAATTTTTAAACGTCCGAAACAAACCAAATGCAACCATTAATAACAGTGGAACCTTGATAACAAGTGTCGATTTTCAGATCCCCTTGAGTTTATACTCCCAATCACGTCTTATTGTAAACTTTGATAAGAAGTCAACCCTGCAAACAACCTTTGTTATTTATTAATAGTAGTAAAACGCAAATTACGTTTTTTAAGGAGTGTAGTTGACGTCGTGCAACAGTCAAATATTGATTGGACGTCGTGGCACTTGGACGTCGTGCAACTGGCAGAGGCTTTGGACGTGGTGCAAATGATACTTTTTTACAATTCTACAGTGCGCTGTTTCACGACGTCCAAGTGCCTCGACGTCCAAAGCTTGTAGAAAGACTATATTTTTGGCAGTTACTGTACTTTTGGACGTCGTGGCACTTGGACGTCGTGCAACAACTCAAAAATTATGTTTTGGACGTCGTGGCTCTTGGACGTCGTGCAACACTCCCGGCCTACCGACTTTTCAGAGCCAATGACTGAAGTAACACAGTATTTTTCTCTATTTTACGCACTTAGACAAATATAAAGATCAATTATTTGATAACATTTCTTAGTTACTCATTTGAAACAAATAGACTTCTGTCGTCAATAGGAGTGGCTTGTCTTGACAAGTCTCTGGTCAATTAACACTTCATTTGTGCCAAAACACGCGTCAGCCTGGCGACAAAGCCTTCGGAATTTGGCCTAAGGCCACGTTATTAAGGTGGAAAACGTTGGTCGTTATTAACTTAGTAACACAATGGGTTAATTCACTTCAAAAACTGTAATTTAGTGTTGGAAATGTGCTAAGGTCAAGCTAAATGTGTACTTTGAGTCTATTCGGTTGAATTTAAAATTAAAGTTAAAACTAAACTTCGAATTTTTAAATTTTTTTACATTAAACGTTTAAAAATTGTTTCTAAATCGGTTTATGTAGGCATAGTGTTTAAATATAAAACTTTCCCAGAGTTTTTTTTTACATTCTTAATTATCGAATGATTTTTTGGAAGGGTTAATTGCTAAGAGTTGCCTAGTACAGTACTATTCATTCCTACCCAGCATTTGGGAGGTGTGGGAAATGTTATCTCATTGATAATAGATTACAACACTTATAAGCTGATAAGTGTGTCTGTACCTTATCTTGCAAGATAAACAAACACCTTGTTTCCAAACACTTTGGAATTCTGTTTGACAATTTATCTGCAATGTCTCTTAAACAACGTGTAAAGGAAAAATTTTATAAAATAGTCGACATCAGTGCTAAATATCACCAAAATGAAACACTCATCAAAGATTTTATATCAGGATGAGGGTATACTTGCAGCATCCAAAGTCAATGATATCACAAGTATAGCCATAACGCAATACCATGTCAAAGTTCCAAGGTCTATGTTATCTATGAGGCTGTGTATTGATGGTGTTGAGTCATCTACATGCAAATCCACCTTTTGTAAGCGCCGACACGACAAAAACTGGCTTATCAGTTGTTATTGTCATTCGTGTTAATGAATAAAACATGTTTAAAATCATGTTTTACATGGTTTAGTGTTTCCCTGTTTTTAATTGGTTATTTGCAAGTCGTATGCGTGTTTTAACCAATGGGTAGGCCTACGCTGTAGGCATAAAGTTGACTTGAAACTTTTCTAAGTGGTGCAATGTCATTTCCGCAAATGTTTAAGTTGTACAATGTCATGTTTATCAAAATACACTGTATTAAAAATACGACACAGTGGTATAGGCGTAACTATGATGACCCTAAGGTGTGAGGGTTACCCCGTGGGGGGGGGGGGGGTTAGGGGAAAACTTTTGAAAATTATACCTGTTTTAGGCTATTTAGAGACATATACAAGATTTTTTTAATGTAGGGAAAAATAATTGTAAAAAATCACGTTTTAAGGTCAGGGGGGTTCAATCCCCTAAACCCATTGGTACATTTGGTTCACGTCAACGGAATGTTTACTTGCAGTATCCAAAGTCAATGGTACATTTGGTTCACGTAATGAGTTGTCTACTTGCAGTATCCAAAGTCAATGGGGCATAAGCCTATAATTGGTTATTCATTTTGTAATAAATTATACCCAGTGGCAATAACCCGATGATTGTTCTTCCGTTTTGTTCTGTATTTGTAATATGCTAGATTGGATGATTTGTTGGTAAACATGTTCCGATTCTTGTATTCGCCTTTTTATTATTATCTTGCAGTTACTGTCATGGCGACCAATCAACCGAAGGCTCGTGTTATATATTTCTAAAGGTTTAAATTCAATTAGGAAAACGTCCTCTAGTCCAATTTGTACCATTTCAAATTTAAATCTTCCCAAAGTTGGTGAAAAAACTGTGCTAAATAATTTCGTGCGGATCGCATCAGCCGTTCAGGAGTATTTGTATAACAATAGCAGGAGTGTACTACCATTGAATATATAACACTATAGTGTGATATATTCAATGGTAGTAGGAAGAACTAGGCTCGCTCCGCTCAACTAGAATTACAATTTTAGCTAATGGTCGTGGTCCCCTTCCCATGATATTTCTACTGAGTACTGATAACACAGCAATATATTAAATAAAAAAATTTTATATGTGACGCCGACTACCAAACGCTCAGTTTATTATTAATTTAATTTTGTTTTGAAGTTTGGTAACTAATAAACTCAATACATTCAGTAATAAACAACCCCGGTAAAAGCTGGTTGTCTTATATCTATATACCTAACCGGCGCACAGCTTATCTGGAGAAAGTCCTATCACGCCTAATCTAGCTGTTCCCTTATCTAATCAGACATAACCTCTAACCCACTGGAGGAATTTTTCGACATTAAATCCTATTAGTACCAGTACCTAGAGGTAGCTAAGCGCTTAATAGTCTGTACAATATCTCATTATCTGAATGAGACTACCACACTCAAGCATTTGGCCGCAACCACACAATCTAACCTAAAACCTACAAGTTAGTTTATTCGAAACATAACCTAACCTACCTGGAGGTAGTTTTGAAGAAGTTGCTCTCGCGGTTCATCAATTCCGATCTGAACTTTGTCATTTCGTCCTCCATCTTCCTCATCTCCGCATCAAACCGTTCCCGGATGTTGGAGAATTCTGTGTCGATGACGCTGAAGTCGCCCAACTTGATAGGGATGTTTCTCTTGATTGTGCTGTCCGCCATCTGTAAATGCACTTGTCACTCGCTGCAATATACACGTCCGCGCTTCTCGCTTGCCGCACTCGATATGGATTTAAATAGAGACAGTCGGCGTCCGGCGACGGTAGAGCGCGCCTACGCGCACGCGCGTCACAGGTCGGCCGCGCACTCTGCCGCCAACACATGCGAACTCACCTTCCAGAACATACGAGATTGTGAATCATGTGTTGAGATGTTGAAGAATCATCTGCGATTATTGGTACGATGATGAGGTTTTCTCAGAATATAATTAATTGCCTAAAAATGGACGATTGGAATCGTATGGTCCACTACGTTGAATTTGACATAAATTGTTGTCCAAATATATGTTTGTTGAAAGTTGTGTAGGTTGAACCTTGAAACATATGATGAAAAGTGATGTACACAACTAGCATCCATTTTAAATCATTTTAGTGGAGTGATAGGTACTTAATTCACATCAGTAAGTCAGCGACAAACCTTGAGTTCGCATGTATTATGAGTGAAGAATGGACTGAGAATGTACTGAATGATATCAGTTGTTTGGCTAAGGAAACTTTACCACTGACCTCGACTTCTTTCTTGTACAATCTGGACTCTGGAGGTAGCACTGAATAAGATAATATTGAGATAGTTAACCGCCATGTACTAGGGGTATATTACATTGTAGACATTATACACATAGTACATTGGAACTAAGGGCTGAATGGCTGAATAGAGGATTTTAGGATTGTGATAAAGCCATGAGCCAATCAGCTGGTTCCTAGTGGATCCGTCTAGCTAATCTAGTTGGTGCCAACATAACAAGATTGTACAGCATCGATTTTCTAGAAGAGATGCTGTTCCAGTTGTATTTCAAGCTCAAGCTCAGTGATTTAGACAAATGAAAGCCGGGTTTATTTTTGAACCATGAAAATACTACAGACTGGGCTTTTCTCACGATTGAATCTAGATACCTAAACATCACTCGGTTATCAAAGCAACATAAATATAGGAACTTTTTAGCAATCTTTAGCATTATTGTGGGAAAAGAGCCATGTAGGGTTTTACGTAGCTAAGGGCCGTACCATTAAAACAAATATTTACAGAATAAAATGTTCTTGGAATTCAGTACAGATGTTGGAAACAAAACCTGCCCTGCAAAAGTCGCAGAACAGAAACAATGGCATTTGGCTTCTGTGGGGGATGAACCATAAACAAACATAAAAATCGCATCAATATTTACTGTAGAGATATACGAGAAATTGTATACAAGATCAATATACTGTATTTAATCATATGGTGCACACTGTATTATCAGTGTTTTTCCATCACAATGAAAAACCCCAGTGATTATGCCGCATTTCAAAATAGCACGGTGATATATGTTGGCCAACATGCTGCCATAACATGTAATTGTGTACTTTAATAAACAAGCTACCCGAAGTTGGCTTCAAAATAGAAACACGTAAAACAATGAATCACTGAACGCGAAACGTAGAACCGTGGGTAGCGCCAGCGGGACCGGGATATGACACACCTCCAACCGGCGAAGTGTTGCCAACTGTAGCTCGAGAGAGCACTAAATATCCCTTCTTTTCCCAAAAAAGTCCCACCCTTTTTCAGTTAGATTGTTGAATAAGGTACATAATAGTCAATGATAATACCGTGAAGTACAAGGGTACCTGTCCTTCTTTTCGAGTGGGGGGGGGGATCAGAATCTTCTTCTATGGCTTGAAGGTAATGGACTTCCCCCGCAAATAATTTTCATTCAAACTCCTGTCACCTTATTTATTTCTACAATCTATGATTTAAATAAAGATGAATATTCTTGTCAATCATTCATTGGAACAACAATGCTGAGATTTCTATAAGTTCTTATTTAAATGGTTTGGAGTCTGTTTTATCCAAAGATAAAATAAATTCTCTTAATTATTGTCACAACAATAAAACATCTGGTTCTTAATTATTGTCAATATTCAAGCAATATATATTGATGCCAATCTAGAAATCTTGAAATCCCTCCATCAATACCAGAAGTTCACGGAGGATATTGGCAATAATATTGAAGTGCATGCGTGTGCATGCTAAAACATACTAAACCATTCTGTATAAACTTTTATCTTTCATTCAAGTTTATAACAGGAAAGAGTATTAACAAGGAGTAAGTGTATGTTAACAAATAACAAGACAAATAACAAACAAATAAGAGTCTAGATTTAAAGTATAATTGGTCATTTTTAATCATTTTTAATAAAATTAGCCTACTGCTTGCAGAGTTTTGCTGAGCCAAACCACTATTGATGCCGTTAAGGGGTTCATAATATAATTTTAATTATAATTAGATACAATTAAATTAGGCAATTGTCTACTATTAGACACAATTAGGTAATAGTGATAATATCCAGGGTCACTCAAACGAAATTTCTTTCAACAACCTCAAGTGTGTGTATTATTCACGTATTAGTAACCACTCCTTTACCCACTTCCTAGTTCTTTTTAAACTCTTCTTTTACTCTTTCATCTTCTTCTTCTTTCTCTTTCTTATTTTACTTATTTTTTACTCTTAAAAAAAACAATGTAAAATAATGACAAGAGATGCTTTCTTCTTGGAGCCTATTTTAGTACAGAACTACCCTGGATCCAGAGCAATATAATCCTGGATTGACATAACATATTGACAATATTATTGACAATGTAAGATGCAGCCCGAAATACGGCGGTTTGTCTGGTTTGATAATATTATTGAGTCAATCATATTGTCAATAATATTGATAGTGTAAGGTCTACAATAGATAGAGCCATAGACAAAGGAATTAAATAATTCTTTTTGTCTATGGTAGAGCTAACAGCAGTATCTGAAGTATTGGATTTCTTCCTTGAAAATGAACGAGCATTGACATAAAACCACATTAGGACAGGACGACGTCTGTCGGGCCAGCTAGTACAGTATACAAATCGTGATTTTAGTTTGAATACAGTCTTCACTAATCACTATACTATGCACTAGTGGCCTCTGGTGGAGAACTATGAAACTACTAACGCAGATAATCACACCACTCCGTGAAATACCAAACGCTACACACAGCTGTAGCTGTAATATAACATTAAATAATAACAGTTATAATAACCGTTATAAATTAAAATTATATTCGTATATTTGATAAGACTGAACAGATAATTGAATATTACGGTTACCCGTTCGTAACAAATATGAATTTTAACAAATATTTGTTTTTACAACAAAAAAACTAACGGGATCATTAGCTCGATACATTTATAATGTTGTTACATTTTAAGCGTTACTAATATTTACTTCTAGTAAAGTTTTAATTTATATTCATAATACTTCTTTCAGATCACGTGGTGTAAAATAAATTTTACATTAAAAATGCTCAATACGAAAATGTTTGTAAAACATATCATCCTTGCCATTTTCATTGTTAATTTTCTCTGCGAACTATTTTTATGTTAAAGGTGTACTGTGTAGCATATCAAAACGGTCTAACATTATCGCCTAAAATTCGAAGTTAGAGCGATGAAGGTTTTTCAGCAAAAAGTTTGGTAACCTCCGGAATAGGGTGTGCCACAGGGCAGTCGCCTAGCGCCAATCTTCTTCACTCGCACCATCGCTTCACACCATCGGCCGGTACTCGTGGCGTAGTACTGTAATCCAGCTACTTGGAGGCCGGGTGTTTAGATCTCTTAAGTCCCCGGGGTTGTCCCAGTTAATCGAAATTGGTATTGTAATGTCCGCAAGATGACCATTAACAGGGAAAGTGGGTTCCCAAAGATAAAGTCCCACACCTGACACAGTTAATGTGTAAATATGTCCAATCGAGATGATATGTCCAAATGTGTGAAGGTGGGTTCACACCAAGGACTGACTAAGTTGATAAATGGGGTTTAGCTCCCCACTGAGTAAAGGAGAAATGTCGTACCCTAATGGATAAGGTGAACAATTCACCACAATGATGAACTATATACTATAAGCCTCTGCAGAGCAACAAAGAAAGCACTGATGAAACGCGGAAGACAAGACCTTTCGAACTGGGAAAACCTAGGCGACTAAGAGAGACTCTCACCTTTTTACTTTTGTAAAGTTTAATACATGAAGAACTCGCACGTCCAAAAGTGTTTTTGCTAACATATCATACAAACTTACATTTTGTTCACTTGAATTAGTTTTAAAAACAGCTGAGTTTTCATTTTCTCACTCCGAAATCAGAATGACTACTGAAAATATGTGAAGTTAGTTAATTTATATTTTTTTGTAATTATCAAACTATAAATATATAAAATCATATGAAAAAATCTTTTATTGTTTTTTTTTATTTTATTCAGGATTTAATCCTTGGAATAGTCTGTATGTAGATTATATTAATCTTATAAGTGAAAGAACGTTTTAAAAATGAATAGGGCTTAGTTGAAAATTGTTATTACAACATGATCAGTGTGTAAAGCCCGACTCAACAAAGCATAGAAACTGCTGGTGCTATGATGAAACAAGCCACATTTAATACAATCCTGAATTTAAGAAAGATTGCTGAGCTCACAATTCTTCAGTTGTCATGTGTTAAAAACTGTAGACAAAATATTACGTGCGGTTTGTGATCAATGTGTTTTTGAACTTAGTAAAATTCTCAATATTTTTCTCGTGTGTAAAGTCTTCGCTCACTAGTTGCACCACAAATGATAGAGTAGTAGGCCTACTCTCTTTTTAGTAGAGAGTGTACTTCTTTTAGTAGACAGTGTACTCGTTTTAGTAGACAGTGTACTCGTTTTAGTAGACAGTGTACTCTTTTTAGTAGACAGTGTACTAGTTTTAGTGGGTAGTGTACTCTTTAGTGTACTATTTTTAGTAGACAGTCTGACAGTGTACTCTTTGTAGTAGACAGTGTACTCTTTTTAGTAGACAGTCTGACAGTGTACTATTTTTAGTAGACAGTCTGACAGTGTACTCTTTGTAGTAGAACGAACTGAAATGAACGCACCAACATCATTTAAAATAGAAGTTCTAACCTAAAAAATTCTATTATTTGTTCCTAACGGTAATAGAGAAAAAATCTAATGTCTGTTTTAAACAAAAATCACTATTTAT